ATCTGTCTAGAGCACAGTCCCTGTTTCTGAGTTACCGTCACTAAGAATTCTGTGGTATCTTTATTCCTTCATAGTTTATACCCATATCATATATATTACTGATACAAAAGGCTCCCAACACTCCCCACCTCACTACTGTAGGCACATTAAAGGGATATGTGGAGGGCCAACAGGGCAGAGGGATGGGTGGGAATTTACAAACTTTTTTTGAGACTTGTCAGCTTTTTTTTTTTACTCTAATTAAAATATGGATTAGTTTCCACCTGTAGTAGTATCATGATATGATTTTAGCTTTATTCATGTGATATTTATATTGCCAATGGAAAAATACCCAGATCAGAGTAATGAATTGTTTTATATTCACATTTTGTAGTTTTTATTTTTTCTTAAGAGGAATACTATTTATAATATTATATGCTAGGCTTCTTGCTAATTATAAAAAATGAAATTGTCCCTTTGCAATAAAGAGCTCTGCTGTTACCATCCTAACCAAATGACGCTAATATGGATCATTCTGACACTGTGAGCCATCTGGTGTGATGTACATAGCGTCCACCATATACTTAATATTTAAATTAAATTTTCAGTTTACAGGAAACATAGGGGTAAAAGTGACACCAAATAATAAAATCAAACAAACAAGAATGTGGAATACTCTGCAAGATAACAGGCTAAGTTTTTTCAAGAAGATAATGTCCTGCATGTAGTGCGTTTCTTCCAAAGAGCACAAGATGAAAAGGAGAAAAAAAGAGTAACTTTACATGGGAAAAAATAGACAGAAACTGCCTAAGCCAGGTGGTCATGATATAGTGATAAGTCATGTTAATAGCATGTACCTACGACCTGGGCCTCCCTCCCTCTGGCCAGCCGCAGGCACCTGGGAGAGCAGGTGGCTTCCCCCAGGCCAGGCCCTGGCTTTGTCAGGAAGAACGTCTGGAATGACGTCGGGAAGACATCCGGTCTAGCTGGTCTAATTAGCATATTATCCTTTTATTAGTATAGATTGCTATGAGAAATGTCTAAGATTATACTGCCTATGTTTTCTTCTAACAGTTTTATGGTTCCAAGTCTAACATTTAAGTCTTTAATCCATTTTGAGTTTATTTTTGTGTATGGTGTAAGAAGTTTGCCTAGTTTAATTTTGTTGTACATACCTGTCCAATTTTCTCAAAGACATTTATACTTTGAATGCCAGTTTGGGGACTGTTACTAGTAAAAACAAGGAGAGCGCCAGCAAGAGTGCATTACTGCAGACAGCCATGGCGGAGGTGGGGAGGGGGGGTCGGGACGGGGAGGAGCGGCAAGAGATTACAGGTTCTTGAGAACAGGGACAAACCTCTTTAATTTGGAAATTATACATATAATCCCAGAGGTGGTACGTTCCCAGGAAAATTTTGGTAATCCCTCCTCCCCAGAATTTTTTTTGCCTGGCTGAGTGGTGAAAGTCTCTTTTACAAAACTGGTCTGTAAAGACTGGGAAATGTGCCTGTTTTGTCCAATATTCAAAACTCAACAAATAATCAGAAGGAAAACAAAGAAAGAGGAAAATAGCCCAATGAAACATTTTCTGAAACTGACCCTAAGAAATGCAGACCTATGAATTATCTGAAAAAGAATTAAAAATAACTCTGTAAAGGATACACAGTCAGCTAAGAGAAACCACAAATAAACAAGAATCAGGAAAACGGTACATGAGCAAAATTAAAATATATCATCAAAGAGATGTAAACTATAAGAAGTACCAAACAAATTCTGGAGCTGAAGAGCCAACAAGAAGGGTTTAACAACAACCTTAATCAACCAAATGAAGAAAAGACCAAACTTGGATGGATCATTTGAAATTTGATTCATAAGGACAAAGAGAAAAAACAATGAAGAACAGTGATGAAATCTTAAGGAATTATGGGATACCATCAAGCAGATCAATATATGCCACAAAGGGAAAAGAGAGAAAAGGGCAGAGAGCTTATTTAAAGAAATAATGGTTGAAAACTTCCAAAAATTTGACAAATGAAATGATATACAATTTTCAGAAACTTAATGAACTCTAACTAGAATAAACCTCGAGACTCACACCAAGACACATTATAATCACAGCTTCAAAAGTCACAGATAAGGGCAGACTCTTGAAAAAAAAAGCAAGAGAAAAGTGACTCATTATATACAAGAAAGCTCCTTTAAGATTATCAGCAGAATTCTCAGCAAGAACGATGAAGGTCAGATGTATTCAAAGTATTGAAAGAAAAAAAAAATCTGCCAAACAAGAATAAAATATTGCGCAGAACTAAGACTTTCCCAGACAAACAAAAGCTGAGTGAATTAATCACCACTAGACCTACTAGTACCCTAGAAGAATTGCTAAAGGAAGTGCCTTCAAATTAAAACAAAAGGATACTAGGCAGCAACAGGAAGGCATACAAACTTATAAAAAGAGCTCCCTGGTAAAGGTAAATGTAAAGACAAATACAGAAACCTGTAAGGGAGAATGACTACAGCGGAATGGCAGCAGGAGAAGTTCCCCTGGTCTTTCTTTTTGAAGTTACAATAATTTGAACAGTGATAATTGAGCAGAGAATTCCCTGATAAATACAAACACATCTGAGAGATTTGTGCATTGAAACATCTGAAAGTGGGTGAGTGGGAACAAGTGGGGAACGAGGCTGGGGAAGGGGGAGGGTAGAAGAGCAGAGATGGGTACTACAGATGCAGCCCTATGGGTCTTGAAAGAAGAGAGGAATCAGGTTGCCATCTGTATTTCCTGCAGCCCAGAGGAGCAAAGAGATACAGTGAACGTTCCTGCAAGAGTGGATGGTACACAGTGCACTAAACCCAGTGACCGGTGCAGAAACGAAGCACAGAGATGCCATTATGTGGTGGCCCTGTAGTCAGGCACAACAAGCCATGGAGCCTGGCCACCTCCCTTCACTCTTCCAGAGGTAGCAGCGGCCCTAGAAGAAGCTATAGCTGTGAGCACTGGGCTGTAAAACACATTATATACAAACCCTAGGACTGGAGTGACAGAAGGTTTTTTTACCCTGAATGGCAGGTACATGTAGCAGTTAATCCTAGTGATGGGTGGAGATACAGAGGTGAAGCAGCTGAGGTCTGGCAATTACTGTTACTGGGAGGACAAACCACAAGTGCAACAGCTGACCTCTGCCAGCTTACCACACCTCACCCTGGTGATTTCACAGGCTCGTAACACCGTCGTCCACCACATTCCCCCACAGCGGTGGTACCTTGAGACCAAGGTGACCTGGTTACAGAAGAGACTAGGGGGTACAGGACATTTTCAACCATTCTGCAGAGATCCCAGAAGCTGGAATAGCACAAGAGAAACTAAAAAACTTGTCCTTCAGTGCCACCTTCTGGAAAACAAGACTTCTTATCAACCTACTCGAGAAGTGACACTCAAAAAAAAAAAGCAGATCTCATTTCTGTAGATGCCTAGACAAGAAGGAATCTATGACATACCATGAACAACCAAGGCAATGAGGCAACTCAGAAAGGAAATGCAAATCTCTAGAAAATAAACTTAAAGACATAGAAATATGTGATTTAAATGACAGAAAAGTTAAGGTTGCAGTTCTGGAAAAACCCTCAATGAGATACAAGAAAACACAGGCAGTTTAATAAACTCAGAAATAAAATCAACAAACAAAAGCAATACTTTACTGAAGACATTGAAACTTAAACAAAGCAAAACAAATAGAAATTTGATAAATAGTGATGAACTAGCAGGCTCAGGAAATGATGCTGACCAGTTGGAGAAAAGAATTAGTGAAATTGAAGATAGAAATCCTTAAAGATTGAAGATAGTAATGATGCAGATGGAAGAGAGAGACTTGAGAGTATATGAAAGAACTCTATGAGAACTATCTAACTCAATCAGAGAGATGTATTAACACAACAGGTATACCAGAGAGAGTACAGAAGGAGAAGGGAACAGAGGTCCTATTCATACAGAGAGTTGATGAGCATTTCCCAAACCTATGGACAAAGCTAGATGCTCGAATCCAAGAAGCAAACAGAACACCTAATTATCTCAATCCAAAAAGGCCTTCTCTAAGGCACATTGCATTAAAACTGTCAAGAATTAATAACAAAGAAAGAATTCTCAAGGCAGCCAGGGAAAAGAAGAGAGTAAGCTCTAAAGGAAATCTCATTAGGTTATCATCGGATTTCTCAGCAGCAGCCCTACAAGCTAGGAGAGAATGGAATCAAATACTCTAACTATTGAAAGAGAAAAATTATCAGTCAAGAACAATATATTCAGCAAAGTTATCCTTGAAATATAAAGGAGAAATAAAAACTTTTCCAGACACACAGCAGCCCAGGGAATTTACCACCTTAAGACCTCCATTACAGGAAATACTGAAACAAAAGGTAAAATTATACAAAACTGTAAGCAAGATTACAAATAGTCAGACAGAAACAGGATATTGCAGCCCCTTTTCAGAACAGGGTATTATGCATTTAAATATAATGAAGGCTAAAGAAGGTAAAAATATTAAAGAAGACAGAGGAAAAAAGACAGTATCTATTGCATTTGGAAATTAGCTCACAACATAAATAAGGAAAATTTCTGACAAGAAAAATATAAAAGGGGAAGGGTAAAGGTCTTAATTTGCAAACATCTCTGGAGAAAAGATGCATTCAGAATAAAAAGGACTACTGTATATATGAAACTTTCTTTTGCATAATAGAATTATATTGTTGCACTGCTTCAGTTGGTAGGGAGTAGAATTATAAAGATGGAGATCTCATCTTTAAATACAAAAAAATATTCTGACATATTTATCCAGGATACCATAGAAAACAGTCCCAGCATTGATTGTTATATAATTGACTAGTGCTTGGTTAAGTGTACTTTTGTGCTTTATATATCACAAATGGAATGAAAAACCTTGTTTTATGGATGTATATAAAATGAATCTATTGGTGGCCCAGCGCAGTTCATGGCCTGCTCTTCTACTTCTCAGAATTCTTCTAGGATTAGTGTCTCTCAAGCCCCATCTCTCACTTCACCAGTCATAAGGGATAGATAGACTGAGGTTTGACACATCTACATGTATAAAAGCCTAAGTGACTGGCTGACTGGCCAGTAGCTATGACACACACTGACCACCAGGGGGTAGATGCTCAATACAGGAGTGGAAACCACAGGCATAGAAACATGGAACAGACTGATGAATCTCAGAGAGAAGCGGGGAGGGAGGGAAGAGATTAACCAAAGATCTTACATACATACTAGAGGCCCGGTGCACAGATTCATGCACTGGTGGGGTCCCTTGCCTGGCCTGTGGGGATTGGGCCAAAACTGGCTCTCCAACATCCCCTTAGGGGTCCAGATTGTGAGGGCACAGGCCAGGCTGAGGGACCCCACCAGTGCATGAACCTGTACACCGGGCCTCTAGTTTAAATAATAACCAGGATAAACATTCTCTAGCACTTGCATCAATAGTGAAACTAGTTACAGACCTAGAACCCTTTGATGCAAGAATTGCTAAGAAATATGTCTGTTTCTTCTACAATAGCAGCTCTGAATAGAACAAAACAAAGGCCTTGAAGAAACTGAGTAATAATCCTGAGATTCATCTAAATAACTTAATGAATGACTTAAATCTAAGCATTTTATAAATTGAGATGTCATTTTCATATGATAAAAAGCTGAGATTTTAGGTGCAGAGTTAAAAGAATTTTGACAAAGTATAAGCCAATGTAATTATTACTCCAGTCAAGATATAGCACATTTTATTACTCCAGAAGGTTCCCTGGGGCTCCTTTCCTATTAGTTCTTTGTCTCCACAGTGACATCGATGACTAATTACCAGACTTCTCTTCAGATTACTTCCAAGCAAGTTTCCTTATTTCTTTTTTACAGAGAGAAAGGGAGAGGGATAGAGAGTCAGAAACATCGATGAGAGAGAAACATGGATCAGCTGCCTCCTGCACACTCCCCACTGGGGATGTGCCTGCAACCAAGGTACATGCCCTTGACTGGAATCGAACTTGGGACCCTTGAGTCTGCAGGCTGACACTCTAACCACTGAGCCAAACCAGTTAGGGCCCGTATATCTTTTTTGTATCCTCACCCGAGTCTATTTTTTTCCATTGTTTTGTAGAGGGAGTGGAAGGGAGAAAGAGAGAGAAACATCAATGTAGAGAGACACATAGATTGGTTGCCTCCCCCATGAACCCTGACTGGGACCAGGGATCAAATCTGAAACCCATGTACATGCCCTTTACCAGGAATCAAACCCATGACCTTTTAGTGTGCAGGACAATGCTCTAACCACTTAGCAAAACTGGCC